CATCAGGATGATGCGATCCTTTATTGGGGATTCCGCTATGATTGATTGCAACCTCTCATAGAACTGATCTTTATCGTTGTTGTTGCTGTCATTGGTGGGTGCATAACCTTGGATAAGATTAATTGTGATTCCCTCCGTCTTTGTTTGGAAGGATGCTTTGATGATTCTGGATCCATGAGATTCCCATTTTATAGGTACTCTTCGTGCTTCTCTAGACAATATCTGTGCAAATCGTTGTATGTGGAGCATTTTTTTCCTTCATGATCAGAGTAAAATAGATTCTGTCACGAACCTGATCTTTTCTGTATACCTTAGGTCCAATAGTTTTAACTTATTCCGAGAAACACCAGGTAGTATTGTAGAATTATGGTCTACTACGATATTAGTACTGCTCTAATAATAGACCTAATCCTAAATTTGTAGATTCGTCATGATATAACTGCCTAATCTATAAGATCTTACGTGGAAGTCACACCATCGACTACGCCAACTCACTGTATCGTATCAATTACCAATACATGATGAAGAACCAGCTTAGGTTAGAGAAGGAACAATATATTTAATATGAATAGAGATATAGGATAATATCCAGCAGGGACCACGCCTGCATGGCCGAGCCATGCCACTCGATCAACTCCAGTCCATTCAATTCATTGTTCGCGCCTTCTCCATTGTTGGGTATTTCTCCGCGTTAAATATTGAATATCTATTTTCTGAGTAGTCTCGTGTTCACAGCTTTGTGGATTGTGTGGCTATTGTCCAATGCCACTACACTACTCTCCCACCAGAATCAACGTGATGTTGGTTCGATACCGAATTGGATGGGATCGTCGTGCGCCGAAGGTTACCAAGACTAGGAAGAATCCCCCGGGTAATGATAAGCTGAAAGATAAATCAAAAAGAAAGGCGGCAGCATCTGGTCGGGAAATACATGTAATAATTTTTTTTTAATCTGCCTTCATGCTTAACACACTTAAAATGACAATTTGGGTGAAGATTATTTGAGCTATAAAAAAAAATGGGATTACAATAATAATAATAATAAAACGATGCGTGTTAATAAATTAACTTATAGGCAGTAATTATTTTGTGTTTAGAAATATTAAAATAATGAATATTGTAGAAATGTTAATATTGGTATTAGTTTTGGTTTAAATTATGAAATCGGATAACGATTATGCCGGTAAGTTGTCCATATGAGTTGAATTCCAATTGCATCTGTATCAGTAGGCTAACTGAAGGAACAAAAGTATTACCATGGTAAAGAATTCCAACTAGTGTTCTAGTTAGTTTGATACGGTTTATTTAGTTACGGGGAGATTTTCTCAACCTCATTTTTACTTGACCGTGATAGAATTTAGTAATACTACTAATACACATGAATGTTCATCAAAACAAAATTTAAATACGTGAGTGATGATTATATGAATTTTGGACAGATAGCTAGGAACAAATCGTTAAACATGAGCGTATTCGTAAGAGACATGCTCTAGACTCAATGTTCTGATCTGTGGCAGACTATTTACTTGTATTTATACTTGCCGGCTGATTGGGCATACAAGTTAGTTGCAAGTATGCAGTTTATCATAAGGCGGAATAAGATTAAATTGAGATATAGTGGTTATAGGTTATTAAAATCAGTTAGGCCTGTGTCATATTACGAAGTGATGTGGTGCCGCAGGATGTATTCGGCTAAATAAGCTTTTACAAGATGATTAACAGTGAGTGATGCTCATGTGATTATCAGGAAGAACACAAGTTGTAACCAAGGGGAGTACACTCCCAACTCACGTCTATGATAATGGCTTGAACCTTAGTCAGTGTTGGGGTAAATTCGACATTGATGTTTTCAGTTTGCAGGAGATTTGCTCGACTGCTTATACTGATTATTTGCATGCATGATTGTGTCGCTAAACCTCCAATTAGACTGACAAGGTTTTGAGATATTTACTAAATGAGCAACTGATAGAGAAACATACTGTAATCATCCGTAGTGAATGAAGATAAAAGAAAAACAACACTAGTGATAATTATAAGTCAATTTGCTGACCGATTTTGTTAATAGTCTCATTAATTTTATCAATCATATTACGTGATTGTCATGACAATGCTTTATGACGATATCCTGAAACTATTATGTTTAACTACTTATAGTGTTGATTAAGGATTAGTCAGTGGAAAAATAGGTATTGTTGCTTTAGGTGATTCAAAATCATCAGAAATTTATAACGTTAAAGAATCCGAGACGCCTAATTTAATTATAAATTTCAATTCAGAAATATTCGTTTAGTGTTCATTCTAGTAGGCTACTGAGTTTTGATTTTAAACGTTTGTTTAGCCAACAGCTACTTGGGGATTTAGTTATTTCACTAGTGCAGTTGATAGTACCTAAATTTTTAATCTTATTATCTAAACTATGTTCGCATTTTAGGCTGCTAATATGATAAACTAATCCATAAACCCAAATACGATTAGCAACAACGACTATGATGGGTTTATTGATAAATGTTAAAGGCGATTCAGATGATTTCTAAATTTAGAAGACATGGAGATATAGTGTAACGTATGTATGGGCCAGGTTAACATGCAGGTTGTTGACGTATATGACGATTTAAAAATAATGAACATGACCAGAAAATAGTTTTAAAGTTTAGCCTGCTTGTGAAACTTCAGGCAGGAATATGATGCGTTATAAACATTCCATAAGAAGTTACTGCATTTGCCTAGGGACACTTACAAATATATGGCAAAAGGAACCGGAAAACATATACATGTTAAGTAAAAAAAATCATCCAGTAAAATAGTTGAACTCGCCTGGATTATTTTTGAAAATTAGATTATTCAGTGGACGACATATATAACGCCATTCGTGAGGAGTAGTAATGATCCAAAAGCATCCAGAATAAAACATACAGTATGGCAATCACTTCCAGGGTGCTTGATGCTGTTGAGGTCTTTGGGACTCGCTCTGATCAGAACAACTGAATGAATCCAGATAATTGTGTGTGCCATCTAAAATGAACTTATGATTGCAGAAAACTTATAGCTGGAACTCACCGTATGTTTTTGGAGTAGTCATCCTCGTTGTTTGGCAATGGAACTCGAGAATATGAAATTAGGCAGGCAGTGGTCAGAAGAAAAGATATTACAGGATAGTGCATCGTTTAAAACAGGATGAGGTGTTAAGTGAAGGAACACTGAGAATTAGATCCAGATAACTATTTAGTCCTTGATCGCATTGTTAGTCAATGTATATTTACGCTATTTACAGGTCATATTTGCTAGAGCTTGATGTTTAAACAAGACTATGTCGCTGAAGCATGTAAATGCTATTACAGCTTGTTAACAAATCATCAAAGCTAATTAGTTAATATAGACGACCAGTTTTTATTATCGATTGAGCTAGTTTGTCATGAGGACTAATCAATATAACATTACGATAATGCATGTGAGCATTAATCAGAGGACTATTGGAATACAGGGTTAACATAAATATAAAATCGATCGAGAAAGTTGAAGTGGAAATAAGGATTAATAATATTAGGTTGCGTTTCTTTAGTTGGGCTCACCAATGTAGAATTATGGTCTACTACGATATTAGTACTGCTCTAATAATAGACCTAATCCTAAATTTGTAGATTCGTCATGATATAACTGCCTAATCTATAAGATCTTACGTGGAAGTCACACCATCGACTACGCCAACTCACTGTATCGTATCAATTACCAATACATGATGAAGAACCAGCTTAGGTTAGAGAAGGAACAATATATTTAATATGAATAGAGATATAGGATAATATCCAGCAGGGACCACGCCTGCATGGCCGAGCCATGCCACTCGATCAACTCCAGTCCATTCAATTCATTGTTCGCGCCTTCTCCATTGTTGGGTATTTCTCCGCGTTAAATATTGAATATCTATTTTCTGAGTAGTCTCGTGTTCACAGCTTTGTGGATTGTGTGGCTATTGTCCAATGCCACTACAGTATCTCCTCATTTCCGTAGTTATTTTGTTGGTCTTTCCTGTCTCTTACATTGTCCGGACATTCCATGTGCCTATATTAACTATTACTATGATTGTCGGAATTAGCGTCAGGATTATGGCTTCCAAAGAATTTCGGCGTCTGCTTTCCCACTTTCGATTTGTTTGTTCTCCAGTCCTTCAATATCAGTGATCCGCTTGCCTTCTTCATATTTGAATGATCACACCGTCTCACACTATATACATTCTACTTTCCCTTTTGCATCATATAATTGTCTCATAATTTCATCCCTTGTAGCATTTTCGGCTATCATTGCTAGTCCTCACACGTATTTCAGACTTTCTGTTCTAAAGCTCCTCTTCTCTCATATTTTCGCTTCTGTGTATTCGGTCTGTGCTTTGACCTAATCTGTTCTCGTTCGGTTATCGTTAACTGCTATCTTCTTGTTCTTCCTTTCTTGGAACTTGTTGTTGAGAGCTAACCTGAATTCGTTGAGTTTGCATGTATCTAGAAGGAAGGCTGTAGTGAATCTATCCTATAAAATTTCCACAGATATTCAAGGTCTGAAAGTGCCTGTGCCTGTGTAATCTTTATAATCGAAGGTTATTAACTCAGTCAAATCAGAAGCATGTGATATTTGGGATGTTTGGGAATATATCTGGAGGGTTGTCGAAAAGTTGAGAGTCTTTCGATCTAAGCCAGATAGAGTTTTCAAGGAGTACGTAACATGGTATACCCACTCGTGATCTGGTGTGGATGAGTGACCGGGTTCTTCAACTAGGTTGCGTCCTGTAGAATTAATGAAGTCAGCAGCAATGTCAAAGACTTACAGGACTATCTATTTTGAAGATTTATTTGCTATTACTTCCCTAATAACTGAGCTTCTGAACGGTTTATGACTACGAGAACAAACTATGCCTCTATAACCCTTCATGTTCCTGGGTCCGCTTCAATTCATTTCTGGTTATCGTTAAAGTTATTTCCCCCCCCCCAAATATCGTTTCTCCTGCATTCATGATTGTAGCGGTGGATGACTCACCAAAATCAATTGCTCTTGAAGTCCTCGATATGAAATATGCTACCGACATATCGGGAAGTGATCAATCTAAGCTGGTTTTTGGTTGTAGATGTGAAGCAGTGAACTTTGAAGGTTCTTGATATTATGCTAACTAAGGTCTTTTGAGTGAAACTCTATTCACTTCATGTAGTAGTTAAGTGTATCAGCCGTGATATTCTTCTCTGCATTCATGAGCCTCCATCAAAATTTCTACTTTTATACTGGTGGTCGGTGTTTCACTATAGATACTAAGTATTCTTTCCAGAGGTATGGTAGCATATTATATCCGAGCTTCCAGTTTATCATAAGTAGTTTTTTATACGGCGTACAGAGCCGTCATCTTGTACGGATGTTTGGCCGATCGCCTTTGGTTAGTGGCATGTTGAATGAAACTAACATCAATAATATAAATGAGGGACGTTTACATAGCTACTCATATCGAGGATTTATTAAACATTGCTTGTCTCACTTATTCGTTACCTCTAGCAGCGATCATCTCTAAGGCCATCATAATAATTGTGACTTAATAGACTAGGGATATGTTCCTTATTTTTCCACAATTTTAGTTTTCTGGTACAAAAATAAGCTCAAAAACCAAGTGTTTTGTCTAAACATATTACTTATCATTAAACCGCATTGATGATCAATTAGGATATGATGAAGGTGAAGGAAACGTATTCGTGCTGCCTTTTTGTTTTTGTCTTAATGATTTGTTGAAATTAAGCAATACAAAATACATATTCAAGCGCCATTCCAATTGTCTGGGTACGTAGTAGTAGTATTGAAGGTCTGTTGGTAGTCGTTCTTTATTTTTACAGCCTAACTGATATTCCTCGTTCCGAAGAATTACCTAACACATGTACTGACCTGTTATTTGATTGGAATAGATAGGGTCAAGTGAAATCATTAAGCATTTTCTTTAGAAGTAGGCGAAATTAAAATTGTGATACAATAAGACTGCTCGAGCAATGTTACTTTAGCATAATTTAAAGGGTTACTGGGGATGTTTCACCAACGCTTGTTTTAAAAGACAACTGGTGTGTCTTATCTAAAAATGTATAAATTCCTATACTGTATATTGCTGTTTTTACACATAAGCATCCTCCATAGACGCTAATTATAATCAGAAACCATAGACGATATAAACTTTGATTGCAAACGTAAGTATACAGTTTCATCTCGAGGCATTTTCAGCCTTGGTCAGGTGTATTCTCTTGGCGACCGCTAAAGTTTATAAACCCCAATCTTCTATATTGTAGATTGTCGATCGCCGTCTCAGGGATTATTACAATTACTGATCAAATACTGGACAAAAACAACTAGGTGAATTTCACCAAACTCATTCCCACCATCTGGAGCAGAGGCAAATACCCCATAAATGTCCAAGAGAGGGGAAACTGTTTTCTCTGGTGATGGAGGCGCTGCGAGCGGCGAGGAGTCAGCAGGGGAAATGATCTGGCCGCCACCGTCTTTTGATAAATCCCAGAAAGGTCCATTAGTGCCACATGGAAAGAAGAAACGCTACCACTCAGCCTCGTTCAGCCACTCTGGTACAAACGGTCTTACAATCGATGGAATTCCTTCTGACTTGCATAAATTAACGGCTGCACTTCACAAAGTCCAGCTCTCTGGTAGTCGTTTGCCTTATGGCAAGAATAGCAAAAAGTCACGAGATGGACGCAAATTACCTAGCAAACGTAAGTTTGTATGAAAAGTTTTGCAGTTGCTGTAGGTGGTGGAAAGCATGACGATCCTACTGACGTTTTGGATGAGATCGAGTTGGATCCTGAGGATCCTGACTTTGATTCTGATGTGGATGTAAGTATCCTATCCTTACAGCATATATTGGTTTAGGCACCTGTTACGTTTGATGAGTTTCAGCCAACTCTGGCTGATGATATATTTGAAAAGACTTTCATTTCATTGATGAACGAGTTTTTCATACACGGCAAAACTCAGGAGGTTATTGTAAGTCATCCCTTTGTTGTTCTATAGTTATTATTTACAGTAAATCTACCTTCTGATTATACTTACTCAACCTTTTTTGTTTATTTCTAAGTGTTTTCACCTAACTTAGGTTTCACTCAGTAAGTTAGGGAAGCAGCATCACCATTGTTAGTTTAAAATTTGTTGGTTCAACCTTAAGTGCGGTTGTATCGTATGTGCGACCTAATATTTATATGTTAAGCCTCTGTAGACAACCCATTCGTCCGCTTGATATTTTTTGGTGTTACAATGTGTAGATCCGTACCATTCGAAAAGAAACCAGAGTTCTACAGTTAATAAGTCGTTTTCATCCTTTTGGATTATCAGGAATTGGGACAAAACAGAGCTTCAGGAATGCGACAGAAAAAAAGAGGTAATATTCCAGAGAAGTAGAAGAGGGAAGAGTAGTATAATTGAAAGAAGTAGTGTTTACTAAGATATAACTCAGTGGAAGGTAGTCACAAAATAACTTTCAGTTAACAAAACCCATCTCACTTATAAAAAGTATAATGAACGGTCATGGAAGGATTCCCACTGGTTTCCGTCGTAATAAGTCCGAAAGCCGTAACCAATTACTATTTTCGTGACCTTAGTGTGGAAAAATATTTTCTTTGATTTGTTTGTCTTCCAGTAAATTTGGATAAGATAGCCTTTACATTGAACTTATTCGGTGTCCTTTCAGGATGTTCTTTCGGATATGAGTCTTGCGGGACATCAACGTCGTCGACTTCCATATTTGGCAATTACTCTTGCCATTCAACATCGACAAACACAATGCGAGCTAACATCAGAACTGCTGTCAGACATGTGTGGCAAAGTCCTCAATCATGCTCACATTCAACAAGGATTCCAACTTGTTTTCAGTGAAATTGGTGATCTCATCATTGATGTCCCCAAAGTGCCTGAGGTATGTTTGTGAACATATTTCTTAATGGTAAAGTTTCTGTTATTAACAGACCATATATTTTACCCCACAGCAAAATTTATATTAAACTTTAACATAAGCTCATTTCACACAAATACTTTTTAAAAGTTCCCCTTACAGTGCACATTGTTTTTAAATTCTCTTCATCATAGTTATGTGATGATTAGAAGTATTACTGAATATTTCCAAGGTCCTACTTTGCCTCTCATACAAAACGAGTCTAAAATATCTTTTTCAACTTTATCCTGAACTACTAGGTATCATTGTCACCAATATAAATTTTGGAGTAAAGCAATTACTGCATCTTCATTATAGGAAAACCTTACAGAACAATTAGATTATGTAACTAATTGGCAAACACCTCATTTATTTACTCAAGGTTTTGGTGCCCGGGCAGTATCTCAGTCCTTACGCAAATCAATGGTTACTGCTACTGGCCTCATTCTTATTGTGTGACACATGTATTTGGTGCCCCCTTATACCACTGTTTGTGTCCAAATAAACGAACAAGGTATATGGCAAGTGTTCAGAACATAGAGGAGTATTTGGAATGTGTTAGCTGCCACCTCTCTTTTTTATATGACATTCAGTGATATGTAACGTACACTAACCTCGAAAGCACAGTCGTTCGACGCTTAGTCAAACAATAAGCTCGTGTATGTACCCGTATATCCTATTTGTGTCTTTATTTTTCGCCATTATAAAATTAAAGATGTATCATTTGAAACCAATACACGATTGTCTCGCATTTTTCGATAGATCTGGAAGCTAAGAGTATGGATTGCAATTGTTTAAACAGACTGGAAAAGGCAACAGTTTATTACCATTACTGTGAAGTAAAACATAACTGTTAAGCGTTTTGACTAAACTTGGTTCATATTTTCATTTTCAGCCAAACATTTAAAATATGACATGTTTTCATTTTCTCTGTCTTAGTATATTGGGCGTTTTATAGCAAGAGCAGTTACAGATGATATCCTTCCTCCCAAATTTATTGAGCTGCAGCGAAATATTCTATCTCAGGTTTCACCTAGTAGCAGCCCTCTCCAAACTGAGACAGGCGAATCGGAAAACGCTATCACGGTCTCTACTAAATCAAATCATTCCAACTCACAAAATACAATTCGAGTTGGTACTCGCAACTTTAGTGACAGCAGTTCTGGTGGCTCAGTATCTGTGGACACCTCTGCTAGCAGTGGTATTGGCTCTGCATCAAGCTTGATAACCGTCAATATGTCCCGTCCAGACCTAGCTCTTGAGGCTCTGAACAGAGCTGAAAGTATTCTAACTCTAAGACATGCCTATGCTAGATTGGATAACATTTGGGGTGTACCCGCTGGCCCAAAAGCTACAAAAATGCTAGTGAAAAAAATCAAAAGATTAGTCAAGTCATTCATTGAATCAAATGATATTGACGAAGCTACTGCAGCACTGTTAGAACTAGATGCCCCTCATTTTCGACATGAACTTGTTTTCCAGGTGAGTTTAGCAGAATATACTTAATTCTTTGACAGTTCTTGTAACGAAATTTTGCTAGTCCTGATCAATATATTTATGTAAATTTCATGATTATATCTTATATTTTTACGGAGAGTTTTTAATTTTCCATTTACCATACAAAGTATAACTTTGAAAATAGTTAGTGTGCATTTTAAGACTGGTGGAATACTAATTGATATGTCCGACTGAGCATTCGTATCTCCATATGAGGTAACGTTTTATAGTATACAAATAACTTATCATCCGATGGCAAATGAGTCACATCAACTATCGTGAAAAAAAGTCAGAATTCAAAAGGTTTTTCAATATCATATGTGTTATGGTTTTGACTGCAAAGGTTACAAACACAGAGTATACATATCCAAGTTACATCATACAATTTCACGCTTGATTGTTAATTAAAGTGATGGTGTCGTTTAGTTAACAAAAACAACTCGGAGGTCATATTACCTTTTTCTGTGACTTTATATCACCTCTGCAATTTGATATTAGGTGTATGTAATGGTAAATAATGACCCGTTAAATTCGATACCTAAACGATTGTTAACTGATTTTCTTCAGATTTTTACTTGGTCTGTGAGTTGGGCGGCTATTCCATTCCACAGACGTTTACACTGGTTTAAAAATTTTTGAGTGGATTTGGGTTTTAGATAGTTGAAATTTAACAGTTCAAACAAATGATTAATATGACCAGTTCTGCACTATCCTTATATTATTTGCCAGTGCTCATCTTGAATTTTTTACTGATTTGAAACTATCTTTCAACCCTTAAGGGTGCGACCTTAACCCTCATCTCATCAGTGTTTGATAACCAAGTGTAACAAACACTAGGGCTAGTAGTCTAATGCGTGTAATTATGAAGTTTAGTTCACCTAACTATTCTTAAGAGAAGCAGTTTGTAGTTGTTTCGGGCAGGTACTAGCTTTTATGGAACTAAAACGTGTGAATGTAGTAATGTCTCACTGTAATATTTGAAGCTTATTTAATCACTTCTTATTATCAAAATCCCTTTCTAAATCTTTTTTAGTCAATTATAATGGCTATAGAAATAAGCACAGAGGATGCACGTGAACGTGTTATTCGTTTACTGAAGGAATTATGTGCTTCAGTTGTTTTGACAATAGACCAGTTAACTCTGGGTGTCAAACGTGTTTATGCTGAATTACCAGACCTACAAATAGATGTACCTGCTGCCTACACGTTAATGGAATTATTTATGAACGGAGCCATTAAAGCTGGTTTCATACCAAGAAAGTTAGCTAACGAATTTACTACCAAGTAAGTTCATACACTAATTTGTCTGCATTTCAAATCATTACGTTTCTCCTGTGCTATAAATCGACATATATTATAACCAGTTATCGGATTTAAAATTAAGGTTCTTACATTAGATCGCCATATATATTGTTTAAACGACTTATTTTTCCATGAAAGTACAAGACTTATGGGAACTGTTGGCCAGTCCGTCTCCAATAAATATCAGTATATAGATAGATTGACCACTAATTGTTCACTCAACATGGCTTATCAAGACCTAGCTACTGGAGGCTCGAAGTATTATAATTTTAAGCCATGTCTGGTATATTTGATAATATTTGAGATGTATTTACTAGCCTGAAGCATATATGTATATTTAGCCCAAAATAATTATGATTAGAAATTGACAAATCAGCCAGTTGGAGATTTCAATCACCACACAAATGTTGCTTCATACTATCACTCAATGGCTTAGAAAATGTCACTTAAACACGGTACCATTTAGTGTTCGTCTTTCAAGAGGAAATTCATGGTGTACAACACCATCGGGGTGTATTCATTATAAATTTTGTGTATACGTCGCAACCCATCAGTCTTTCAAATATCTTTTACT